ATAACACCGGTCTTTCACCCGAATATCAGTATGACAGGCGAAATCTGTTTGGATATTTTACATTCTCAATGGTCTCCGGCATTAACTATACGAGGTCTTCTAATATCATTATGTTCGCTATTGACAGATCCAAATCCCGAACATGGACTCAACAAAGATGCTTTAAAGCTCTATCGGACTGATCAAGAAACATTCAACAAAACAGCAAAAGACTGGACAAGAAAATATGCTATTGTAAATAGCAAATAATAGCCTATATAAGATTCAAATATTTTGTGATTGTTTATTAATCGAGATTTGCAAACTAATATTGACACGAGTCACGCTATTTATTATAATTTTTTGTTGGAGAAGCGTTTTTTTGTGAAAATATTTATATATATATATATAATCTGATCTCAACTGATGATATATTTCACCGAGTATTTGATGTTGTACCTGTATATCTATAGATAAAAAGTCAAATGGTAGATCAACAATATTTAAGAATTCAATATCAAAATTTTGTCTAACTATTCTACACTTAATAGTGTAATGTTTGATAATGGTGATCAAATCGTATAGAATCCTTGAATATTATTCAAAATATCATTGTATTGTTTTCTACAAAGACTAAAAGTAGTGAAAATTGAGCAAACAAACAAATGTAATAAAGAAAAGAAAATCAAGAATGTTTATACTGAGATATACTTATATTCCTCTCTCTCTTCTTATATCCTATTATTCTAAATAAAGATACAAAAATGTATTTTTTTCCATTCAACATTCTTGTTGATTTATACTTTTTGAAATTAACTTCGATGATTCATTTTTGAGAAAAATGTTTTCCTTGCCGATGCATTAAATATATTAACCAATATCGAGAATGAAAACATCAAAAGAAATAGAAGTTAACAGACATCATCAAAGAAAATTAAAAATCTTTGTATAACAGAAATTAAATAAGTGAAAGCCACGAAACAATCTAGTAAAATTGTATTTTATTGTTTAGATACGATTTCATCATAGTCATACTTTATCATAAGAATTAAACTTTAGAACTTTCCTAAGAATATAAAACAGAAAAAGATTGTAAAATTAGTCTAAATTTAACTATAATATGAAAGCTATCATTTTTATTTCAGTTTTGGATTATTTTACTCATGAGTATTGAATATCACATATATCGAATCGTATTGCAATATGAAAATTCTCCTGATATCAAATTATAATCATGAATCTTTGTTATCATCTTTTATTATATTCACTTTCAAATAATTAATATTTCCATTACTTATTTCAACTTCTTCTGTGCAAGTTCCATCAAGTTAATGATTTACAGAATTGTAAATAGAAAAGAAAGATGCATTCATTCGTAACATAAAACAAAAAAAAGGTAAACAAATTGTGTCTTGAACAATTTCTTTAATAAATATAAACTCAGTTCTTTATATATATAGCAACAGACCGATATTGAAGATTTTTATAAAAAGAGTCTTTTTAAACATTTCTATAGACAAAAAGAGTTCCTATATTTTTTCTATTTAGATTAATATTAACGATAATTATCAATATGCAAGTAAGAATTTTATCTCATTGATAAACTTAATAGGATTCAATAATCTTCTGAATAGAAAATGAATGTAAATAAAAAACTATTATAGTTCATCACCCTATTATGTCTAACAGAAGATCAAAAGTACAAGACGAGAAAAAATCCATAAGCGATATGAAAGAGAACGAGAACACATAGAAGAAGATGACGAAACACACTATATATGATATATGTGACAACAGAACGAAAGAATATAGATGATGATACCACCTAATAATATAAATAATAATCACTATTGAATAACAATTATGAAGTATTCACATTATATCTATTATTTCATTTATTTAACAAGAAAAATATTTAATATAATACATAAACTACTCATATTTAGATTTTACCTGGATTAAATAATGCAACTGAGCAGTGCTATCATGTGCCGATTACGTCATCAAGGAGAGTAGTAAAGTATATATGAGATTATAATTACCATTAGTATTTCAATAATATTAATTTCTTTTATTTTTAGTGAACATATTTTATCTAGAAAAGCTGTTTTGTTTGTTATAATATGTTCTACTGGTTTTATTATGGTAATTACTGCCATTGTGGTGCCAGTGTTAATATGGCATATAAACAATGTTCCAATATCATATACAACTAATACAATTGGTATGTATGTTAGAAACTGTATTTCGATCTGTCATAGTAAATATTTATTTATTTTCATTTATGTTTTGACTATAATGAAATATTGACTTGAATCATACCAAAGATATTTTTCAATAAAAACTTGATTTATAAATGACTCTCTTTAAGAAGATGAAAATTGAAAGTAAAATGATCACCTTTATATTTGTAAATAAATCATTTCCATTAGTAAATAAAACATTATATAACTATAATCAATGAATCAAAGCTATATTTTTCAGAAAATATTTTTATAATATTTATTTTAAGGTATGACAACTGCTAATACTACGGCTTCTATGCTGAAATAAACAAGAAAAATCTATCATTAATTACTTTCAGAAATTATATATCAGAACCATTTTGATTCAAAACGAGTAATTAAATATTTTTCATTTTTTATATTAAACAATAAATCAATAAAAATGGTTATATCACAATAAAATATTTTGTAATATCTTGTCTAACATGAATATCATATTTAAGCATTGTGTTTATTGCTATCCTTGTTCTTGTGGTACATCTCATCGAGAATAGTATGAACTTGTCTAGTTTGTACTAAATTAATTATCAAAAAAATATTTTATAAAAGTGAAGAAAAAGAAACTGATAAATACCTCCAGTTTCTGGACTGGGAATTCCATTTGTACGTATACGTTGATCATGTAAACGTCGATTCATTGATATTGCTTCTTCACCTACACAGAAAATGATCTTTACTAATCAAATAACTTCATAGATATATAAATGATTATACTATTTAAATTAAATAAAATTCCAATCATAATCGAAATAATTGTTCCTGTTCTACCATGACCACCCCTAAAATACATTTCTAAATTTATTCTATTTCTTTCTTATTATTCAATAGTTATTTACCAACAATGAACAAGAACAACTTGTCCTCGTTTAACACGATCACAAAGTTCAAGACAAAAATCAAGAACACGTTGGTTGTCTTGATGTACAGATTGATCACGAATTGGAAATGAAATAAATTCTAATTGACGATTTACTAAATAAAAAGACATACATATAATCTACAGAGATAAAATAACTGATAATACCTTCTTTAGCATGTTGTAACATGGTGTCCTGATACGGTGTAAATGTTTTTAATTCTTCAATTTCCATAATATTAACTACAACTTGAACACCA